CATAATATTTACACTGTTTGTAAACTAAGCATTTACAAAGGATAGGCAAATTTTGAGTATGTGGCCACGTTTTCCATTTGAAAACATGTCACAAACTCTGTTACAGTTTTTCATAAGCTAACTCTGAGCATTGACAAAATAGCTAGTTATAGTGGATATGGCTAGTCATAAAGTATGCATTTACCAGAAGGGCAAACAGGTAAACTCTGTCATTTTTGCTTTACTTTAACTTTTTTTTTTTTTGTGATGAATGTGGGTACACTTCTAAACAAAACAGTTGGGCCCTTATTTTTATTATTGAAAAATATTTTGAGACTATAAGATCCCAGAGGCATTCTTGCAAATAAAAATAATATTAGAGGCTGTGCTTTTCTATGGAACGTGTTGGCTTCCTATTTAATTAATATTGATATATCTCTCTATACATGTGTGTATGGGGAGGGAGTTCCCCGCTGACAAGACGACTAGCTGATACAAGGGAGATATCTGTGGGGCACCATGTGTTTTATGCTATAAACTATGCAGGAACTGTTGTTTAAAGTATTAATGTACTTTGGGAGAATTATTGTTACTATAAAAAAATGGTAAAAATAGTCTTGAATATACAATGACAATGAGAATTGTTTTCCTACCTACGTTTGATATGATTTTTATTTTCTAAATTCCATTGCAGACTTACTGAAATCCATTTCTTCAGCCAATCATGTCACTTAAAACATAAGCAAATGCATACCGATGTGTACCTAATGGAACAAAAAGTAGGTGCCCAAACTTTCATTGTATTCTTCCCTTTTTTCTCTCTTATAAAGTGGAAATTATTAAGTACTATATGGAAATATTTTATCTGAAGAACTGAATTAAAAAGAACTCAAAATGAAAATCAAATTTGGGAGAACTGGATTCAGCCCCTCATAGTTCACGGTATGCCAAAAGTTCAGAAATGAGACACTGAAGATCTGAGTTTGGACAAAATCCCTGCACTTAGTGTAATCTGTTTTATTATTCACTTTTTGGGGGGTAGGGGGGAGTGCTGTTGAATCAGTGTTGACTCCTGGTGATTACCTGGACAACTCCCTGCCACTTTACTTGAAAGGTTTTCAGAAGTGCTTTGTTATTGTCTCCTTCTTAGGGCTGAGAGTGTGACTGGCCCAAAGTCACCTAGTTGACTTTTTGTCTAAGGCAAGTCTAGAATTCATGGCCTCCTGTTTCTAGCCTGGAGCTTTAACCATTATACCAAACTGGCTCTCCTCCATGTCTTTACTTGCACAACGCATTCACCATCATCCTGGTGTTTGCTTTTGCATAGTAGGACAAAGTCAATCCCACATCAATGCTACAAGCACTGCCAAAACAATAGCAGAACTGGCTTTTATCATCTTTACTTATGACCCAACTTCCATTTTGGAAGAATTAGCAATAAAATAAGATATTATAACACGTGTGTACTCAGTACTGCAGCATATCCTCAGGTGAATATGAAAATACAAATATATACTTTTCATATAAAAACCTAAAATGGCTATTCAGTGGCAACATTTATTCTCATTCCAAATGCATTCTCCATTCTAACCCTTTTTACACCACTCATTTACTACATTACCTAAACAACTTAGAAAACCAAGTTCTGAAACCTAGCAGTGTATTTTTAGGAATAAATTTATGAACCTCTGGGCCATCATTTTCTCATTCTATGGATCAACCAGGATTCTAACCTAGTAATTGGAAAATAAAAACAAAACTCCCGTTTTTAAAACTCCTTACTCCTCAGAATTTCAAAATATTTTTAGCCAATCATTTACAGTTGAGTGTTATATGAATAAAGAATAAATCAGCCTATCATTTGCCTCCAGAAAACTAGTTATATAAAAGATGCCACAAGCCTCTGTTTACAGAATGAAATTGCATTTCATTGGCACAGAGACAATGACCCTTCACTTCCTTTGAACACTGTGTAGTTGCCTATTCCAGATACGGAAATCAGCACTAATTGGACTATTGTTTCAATGGAAAATCCTCAATAGCTTTAGCTTCCAACAGCTGGCAAAGAAAATTCACATTGCACCATAGTAGAAATATAGTTCAAAGTCATACCAGAGCTGAATTTTGTAAAGCATCAAAAATAACAATACACTTCAAATCTTTTTTTTTAAATAAAAAGTCATGTCTTTTGGAAATAAAAATACTTCTTTAAGGATTGCACAATTTAAGTATTGCACCTTTATGATCAAGATAATTTGTCATGTTTAATATTTTTTAAAAAAACATATTTTTAAAAGCTTTGTTTAAAAATTTAAGCAACTCATTGTTTATAACAAAATCATTTTCAGCTCAATAGGACTGAATCAAGAATATACAAGGCATAAAATGCACCTCAAACTTTGACTTCTGTTCCAAGTCTATTCTAATTGCGTTCCCCAATTGTTAAATGAGCGCACAGAAATCTCTCTCTCTGTATGTATGTAATGTATGTATGTATGTATACAGGGCTGAGCACCCAAGATTTCAGCACTAGTTTCTTCCACCTTCACTCTCATGCCCATTTTGAACTGCTTATCTAATGAACTGTTACATATAATAATAGCCACAAATCAATTCCTTCCTTACAGGCACGGACAATAGAAAAAGTCTTAATTAATAGACATGATATATGCAAAACAGTGAAGTGTTACTATGAATTTTCAGTAAATGCTGGTACAGATGAAAAATAATTTCCTCTTTAAAGGCATTTTCCTCTTCTATATGCATACATAAGGATATTTCATATTAAACCACACACAACTACTGAATAAATATTTTTAATTTTTGTTATTGGTTTCTTTTCTCTTTTTAAAATATTACACATTTGGATATTTGGACATTAGGCTGAAGGTAGAAAAAAGCAAGAGTCCAATCAACAGGGTAATCAAAAAAAGTGTAGTTGCAAAAGAGAAGTCAATTTATTTACAAGATAGAATAACTGAGTATTCCAAACAGTTTCTTCTGTAAATAATCATAACAAGTCTCAAAATGAAAGGGAAAAAAAACAAAAGGAAATTCAATCTCACCACTGCTCTGAAAATTCTCACTGAAAGAATTTCAAATGTTCTTATTTATATATAAAACTACTTCAGAAGGGGAAGAGTTGTACAGCGACAGATGAAATAACAGCATTAGTCAACATCAATGCCTTGTGATTCATTTTTTTTAAAAAAACTTAGACTTAAGTCATTTTTTCCTTTCCTGCTAGAATGCTGAGCACTGAAAAATAAATGACATACTTCAAAGAACTTGATCCAGTTCTGAAGAAACTGATTAATTAGCCAATTATCAGAAAAGATCACATGAACTCAGAGCCTACAATTTGGCGTGTGTGAATTGTTTTGAAATGAAATAGAAAGAATAGGAATTTTGTCCACAAACAACAGAAAAAAAGGCCAGAAAATTTTGTGCTCTTGTCTTTCCTTCAGCATAGCCAATAGACATTAGAAACATTTGTTTCCATTTTACATAAATTTCAGTTTGTTCATGTGCAATAGTCAATATTAACTGCAGTCAGTGGCAATAAATACTTTCAAAAACCAGTATGCTTTCACTACACCAAACTGAGGCTGATATATGTATATGTATATGTATATTTGTTGTTAATACTTGTTTTGCTAATATCAGTATATTAGCTGAAGTTTATTCACTTCAACCAATTTCTCAATCTCAGTGGATAATAGTAACCAACATGGGAAGTATAGACACTGTAAAAGCATTACTAACTACAATTTTAAACAATAGATCAATGTGATTAAAGAACCTATTTTATTTCACACATGGTTCAGAAATCTTTATTGTAAACATGCACTGGTAATTATATTAGTTTTAGGCCTATAGATCAAGAGAACAAGGGTCTCTTCCACTAATAGTCACAAGTTTTTACAGCTGTATTCAAGAGTTAAATTAAGCAAAAATGGTTTTAACTGCCGAATTTAAACATATCTTGCTTTTATTTCCCAGTTCCCACAATAACGTGTTGAGATGTTAATGAGTATTGTCAAAATGTTTTCCTGTAATTAACATTTGCAGCCCTAAAAGCATTAGCCAAGCAAGACCCAATTATACTCACATAAAGATCTACAATTTTAGATTTTTTTTAAAAAAAAGACCCTGTAATATTTGCATTTGCATCATGGACACAATTGCAGCATGGAACAGACGCACTTTTATTTTTACATCTGGAAAGAAGTACAGTATGGAGGGGTGTGTGCTGAATGTGAACACGCCTACCAAAAGAGCAAGAGAGCCAGCCTAAGCTCTTCTGATATTGTCACAGATCTGCAATTAAAATAACAACACTTGAACTTGAAGGGGGGAAAAAATGCCCAAGGTAGGAAAATAACTAAGTTTATAAGAAGAAGGCACAGAAGCCTTTGAACTAGGAAACGAAATTTATTCTCCCCCCACCCCAGTCCAAAAGTACTCATTTCACTACCAGCTTAAATGAACTTATTTAGTTGGAGAAAATTCTTTTTTTCTCTCCCTAGCACTATTTCAAAGTTTGCGTTCTGCCTTCGGTTGGCTGGCCCCAACCGGAAAACAGGTCCAAGGCCCACGCGGAGGGGAGGGGAGGGGGGGGGGGGGGGTCTGCCTGCGCGTGCAATAGCCAAAGGGGCAGAGTACACGAAAGGCGCCAAGATAAAAGGCACAGCTCGGGCTACGTTACCCTCCCTCTCTTTCCTCCCCCCCGCCCCCCAGTTCAGCCGAGGGTCTTTTCCTCAAACACGCCCTTCAGACAAGTATCCCTCATGCCACCGTCCTAGACGGCGCCCACCCACCCCATGAGCAGGAGATGCGACCCAGCCAAACCGCCGCTCTCCCAGCGCGCGAGAGGCATGAACCCCCATCTCCACCAGCCCGTGTAACGCCCGACTTGTTTCAAAACGCAAACAAAACCCGAGGGGGGCGGGGGCGGCCAAGCCAACGTTCCCCAAACCTACAGCGGGTGGGTGGGGGGGCAGCCGGAGTGGTCTCCTCACCTTAGTGGCCATGGTGGGCTTTGGCGGCGTGTCTCCCCGCCTTAGGAGAGAGCCTGACTGGCGACTCTGCTTTCAGGCTCCCTCCTACTGGGCCGCGGCGGCGCTGGGGGGAGGAGGAAGGCGGCGGCAGCTCTAGCTCCGTATTCAGGCCAGCCGCCGCCTCCCCTTCCCTTCCTGCCGGACTTCCAAGCCACGAGAAGGCGAGGGAGCTCCTGAACTGGCGGCGAAGCAGAATCCGGGCTGCCGAGCACCGCCTGCGCTTCCTCTCGCCTCCTGCTTCTTCCTGGTCGCTTCGCCCATAGCCAGGGGCGGGGTTTCCACGAAGGCGTCCCGAAACCCAAGCAGGAAAAGGGAGAAAAGGAGCCCGAGCCTCCCAGCTCTTTCCAGCCTGGGTGCACGTGCCCCCCTCCCGGTTCGGCGGTGGGCAATGGGAAGCCGAGGTGAAGCTGCCTCCCAATTCCTCGCACTCCTCGGCATCCCGGGAGCGTCGGCTCCGCCGTTCGTCCGCTAAACTCACAGGCTGCCTTTTTAGAAATAATAGTATTCTGTCAGGGTGGAAAACATTAGGCCAGTGCAAAGGGCGCCGGCTCATCTGCATCCCAGCCCACGGGCGCGAGGGAAGTGGTTGTCCCAAGTTCTTTTGGATGTCAGAAGGAAGCAGTTCTGTCCATTTTGAATTAACGCTCTTAATGGTTTGATACTAGTACTATTAACACGATGACTAACAGCGGTAGGAATCGGGTAGGTGGCCTTCGTTCCATTCCAGCGGGGTAAACTGCAAGAAAACAAGGCACTGAGGAGAGGTGGTAGAAGCTCTGGCCAAGAAGAGCTCCATCTTGCTATGCCCATTTCACTCTTTTTTGAATCAGGAGACACTCCAGAACCCCATTCCTTTCATGTCAGGTGTGGACTATTGTAGTGCATTCCTATGTGAGGCTGCTCTTGGAAGACTGGTTGGAAGCTGCAGATGGTAGCAGCTTAGATAGTTACAGGCACATCTTGATATGCTCATGTGATACCTCTGGTTTAGAAGCTGCATTATTACCAATAGCATTTGGGTGCAATTCCAGGTGCTGGTTGTTGTCTAGAGTAACTTGCATGGCAAAAGGGCTAGATAATGGAAGGACGACTGATCTCTGCATTCTCCAGGTCCCATAGATAAAAAAATATCATCTGATGGGGCTCCTCAATCTTATTTTAAAACGGCCTTTTAAAACCAGTTTTTCTCCTAGGCCTTGGATTAATTAATGGTACTCTTAGTACTGATTAGTCAACAGTATTCTTTTCATATGGGGATATGCCAAGTGTGTAACGCTTCCTTTGATCATTGTTTTTGTCACTAGTTTCTGTAATTTAGAATATTTTTTTCCTGGGCAGCCTTACAAATTTAATAAATTAAAAATTGAAATTGAAAAGAAAATATTGCTGTGAGGAAAAGTTGTAACTTTGAAATACACACACACACAAAAACCCTTCCAAAAGTCCTCCAAACAAAATTGTGCATTAAAAGAGATATTTTTAAAAGGCAAAACATTCTCTGTGGATATGTTAAATTGCAGGTAATGCAACTGCAAATAATTGGGGCCATCTGCATGCAATTTTATACAGCTTCTTAATATTCAGAGTACTTCAGTAACTGCTGTCCCAGAAGTATTCAGTATGCAGTATTCAAATTCAAAGCAGGCAAACAATAGTTTCCAGGAAGGATTTATATTATGTGTATACTTTGCTTTTAATTCAGCTTATATAATGGATCACACAATTTGATTCTTGTCTTAAAAGAGCAGGAAATCCCATCACTGATTTTTGGCAATAATGCAGCTAAAATTAGACAGCCAAAGGATGTTTCTGGGGAATTTGTTAAAACAAAAAGTGAGGATCCACATTGCCCTGCCATGTTGAAGATAATTTAATTTTATTTTGAGCTTGAGTTGAGGCTAAAAAAAAGAAGTAAATTAATTATAATATTAGCTTTGTCCAAAATCTATACCACAACAAATAAGCTTAATCCTTAAGGCCATATACAATTCTTTATTCTGTTTAAATATAATAACATACTTATCTTATGAAATCCTTACAAGAGTGAGTGAAATAAAACAGCATTTTTCCTCACTGCAGATATTCAAAGAAATGCTGACAATATTTGCTATTTGCACCATCTAGTGCTTTCCTCTGACTTTCCAAAATCGGAAGACAATTTTATATCATTACAGAATGTAGAATAGCTGTGAAGGAAATGTTCACAGAAAGAGATGTCTATCCTCAAGAGATAGACTAGAATAACAAAGTTGGTACCATGAGAGTAGTCAGATATTAAAATAGTCATCATCTCAGATTATATAGATCTGTAGGGCAAAAGAGGATTTACAGGTTATTTTTTTCTGTAATGCATATAATTATTCAAGAAAATATACTATTCAGATATTCCTATCCCACTTCCCTATCATAAAGGATCTTTGATTAACAAAAATAAAAGCCCCAAAGGCAATTGTGGTTCCCTCTGTGATTGTAATATCCAAAGGGGGGGGGGGAGTGAGGAAGAGTAAACAAGCAGAAATAGCTGTTTCCACTTTCTCTCTAGGCATTATTGTGATGCTAATGGAAGGTGGGCAAGGAAAAGGAAGAAGTAGAAGCATCTGTGACTTTCCATGGCTTACATGCTTTCCGGCTCATTAGCCTGCAATCAGCTGGGTGAAGAAGATATAGAGGAATTAACACTAGACAGCTTCCATCCTTTCCTATTTTGCTGCAGTGCAGGTAGCAGTTTGGTCAATGCCAGTTGTACATTTCTCTCCAAAAATACCAAAATAAACATCTTCAGTATTTGCCAATATGAACCAGCTTTAAGCAAAAAACCCCTTTCACCATTAAAACGCCTGAAAAACAAAACTTGCCAGAAATGTTCAGCATCACAGAACATGATGGAGTATCATCCTTACGGCTAAATATGCTCATGTCTCTGTGACAGAAATGGAATAGTTGGTGTTTCCTCTTCCTGTTTACTTCTTTGGAAAGGGATGGCTGCTGGGCCTAGCCATTCCTTCCATGCACTTGGCATAGGGCGAGTTTCACTAGATAATGTAGAAATTTTAATTCTTTTTTAAAATGTGCCACCCATCTCACTATTGAAACAACTCTTGTTGACTTAGAAACTGATAAAAAGATAAATATAAAAAGAGTTAAAAGTAATAAGACAGAGTAAAAACCAAGAGAAGGGACAGCAGGAAAGTGGGGTCTTTTACCCTCTTATCTTACCTCTTATTCTCTTATCGGAAATGATCCACATAAGTTGAGTAATAAAAAATGCTTCCACTTTTTGTTAAATGATCTTGTGTTTCTTTCAGTCTTTGCTTTATTATAGTTAAGGAAGTGCTTGGATTTCTCTTAATGTTTTTCCTAATACTGTTGGTACTTAAGCATCTTACTCATTTGACTTCATAGAATTAGTAGATTTTCTTCTTCCTTGCATTTTTCCTTCAAGTGCAGAGTCTGGGTTTTTTTTTTTAATCCACCGAGTATTGTTCCGTTGGTTGTGACAGGAATTGATTGACTGGCTTGTCACCTGAGGATGACATCATGGCTGAGAGAGAATGACTCATCCAAAGTCATCTAGTCAGCTTTTATATCTAAGGACTAGAACTCACAAGCTTCTAGTTTATATCCTGGTGCCTTAACCAATAGACCAACTGGTTTTATAGAATTGATGGATGATGGCAGTTAAAACATTTGGTTTAAATGTATACATTTCCAGAGACCTTCTCTTTCTTTCATTTCCTTTCCTTTCATTCATTTCACTTCTATAAACATGGTTATTCTTAAAATTGTTCCCTTCAATCTCCCATTCTGATTTGTGTCAAGTTCTTTGTTAATTTTAAAAATCTAATTAATTAAACATGTGTATTTTAGAAATGTATTGCAATAGCGTAGAATTTTTATTTCTTGAGAGAAGAGCAACAAAACATGATTTACTGAAATTTCAGAGTCTTGCTAGTTTATTTATTCCACAATCATTTGACCCAGTTGAGAGGACTGTGATAATTGGGGCTTCCAACTCTTACACTACATCTTATTCATAATTACTCAGCAGCTCGCTTCTATATCCATAAAAACCCAGTAATGCAGCATATACTGAGATGTACACTCAATGAAATATTTTTAATTTAGCTAAATAAAATAAGCAGTATTTAATCACCCTAAACATGGTACTTTCTGAAAATAAGATAAAACATTGTGCATGATAAGACTTACCTAATAAAAGATAATAGAAAATTAATCAGACCAGCATGGATAATATTTTCACAGTTGCACTGAACTACATTGCTTCATCCTGAATAATCTGAGCAGATTATCTATGCATATCAGATGAAATTCCATTGTTCTTCTCTTTCTTTCTTCCTCATCTGTAGAAATTTAGACATGCAAGAGAGGCAATAGCAAAAGAAGAATCTGATCTATTAGTAGTGCACATAAATTAGGCTTAACAATTTTGTCTTATTAAAAAAACTCTTCAAAAGGTAAACATAGTTTATAAAAAAGGATTTCGTTAATTTGGAAAACAAAATTCAAATTTATTAACTTATTTATGAAAACAAAAATAACCAATATTAATTGTTGCTAAGAATCCGTATTTTTATTTCAGGGTGGATTACAATATTCTAGTGTAAACTAAATATCTGAAATAGTCCTGGGGAAGGAAAAGTAGCATACTATTGCTTCATGGATAGTGAAATTGAGGGACTAGTGAGTGTAAGACAATATTATTTCTCCAACAATTAGCCTTGGTAGTACAGTGGTCTAAAGCACCCTGTTATTAAGACCAGCTGCCTGCAATTACTGCAGGTTCGAATCTCGCCAAGGCTCAAGGTTGACTCAGCCTTCCATCCTTTCTAAGGTAGGTAAATTGAGGACCCAGTTGTGGGGGCAATAATCTGACTTTGTATAAATATACAAAAAGAATGAAGGCTATTGCTTAGCGCATTGTAAGCTGCCCTGAGTCTCCGGAGAAGGGCGGCATATAAATCAAATTAAAAAAAAAAAAAAACCTATCAAACAATCTGAAACCTGCGTAACTTTATACTGATATGCACCTTTTTGTTCTCAGCTATCTCAGAAATGGAAATAATTTGATTTTGTCAGGCCTTTGAGGCAGGCCAGGTGAGGAAATAGATAACACCAAAATGTTAGAAATAAACTTTATTGACATAAGACTATAACAACAATTTAGGAAGCCTGACGGCATTTCCCTTTCTTCAGTCTTAGACTAAAAAGTCAAGACAGGGCAAGGTTGAGTTTCTTTCTCATGCTTTCCTGTTTTCCTGGGCTTAGTCATGCTTTATTAATGATTGCTGCATATTTTCTTCAAGGTCATCTCTGCATTCCTCCATAAGTTTAAGGAAGTGCTGTAAGAATGACACTTCACATAGGACATAAAGCATTTTAGAATGATGACTATTTTCCATTCCAGGCAGGTCCCATTCAGCACTAAAAAGGGGTGGAAGCTCACTGAAGCATTTGTCAAGAGTTAGCAAAGGCAACTGTTTCATGGTCTTTAATACCCAAACTTTTAAAAAATTGGGTAATGAATTGTGTCTTTCTATTCAATACACTTTGGAATTTTCCTGGCGGCATGAAAGAATTAAGGATACAAAGTTTCATTGTGCTCAGGCAATGTAGAGTAATGCTACATCCCCCTTTTGGGGCCAAAGTCAAAACGAGGAAGTTCTTATCAGCTACATTTTTCCAATTGTGAATACTCAGAAAATATTTTACAATTATATTTACAAATATATTTAGTAAGGTTCTACAACAAAAACATTTACCTCTGGGTTTTATCTGATAAAAAAGCTTTTTCTCCAACTTGTATTTCCTATTTGGCCTCATGTGAAAGGAAGCCCAAAAGATATTCTGGATCTTTCTAGAACAAAGAAAGAGAGGGAAATAGTTAATTATATGCAATAGTGACTTTAGTTAAAAAAAACAAAACCAAAAACAACAACAACAAAAAAAAGAAGCTTGGCCTAGTCACCATTAAGTACAAAGTGTTTGATTTATTTATTTATTTTGCAACTAAGAATATTGTTTGACAGCAAGAACGTACGAAAATTATAGGAAACCAAAACTGGTTTACTAATCTGAAAAAAAATAAAGAATTTTGTGGCATTATATTGCAAAATTTATAGTTGATAATTATATTAAAATCATCTATTTCTCTGGAGCTGATAACTTTACAGAGAATCAATTCTCCTTAATATTCCTATATTATAAATCAATTCCTATATTTTAGCCACATGAGCTTTAAGCAACATTCAATTTCAAATACATACCATTATTCAATTTCACCTTTTTAAAGAGGGCGGTAGTGGTTTTGTCCTAGTGAAGAAATTGTTTTTTTTTTGTTTTTTTTTTAATTTGATTTATATGCCGCCCTTCTCCGGAGACTCAGGGCGGCTTACAATGCGCTAAGCAATTTTTTCCATCCATTCAGGGTAAATTTTAGTCATGGATTTTTTTTAAAGCAACTACCGTATTTTTCAGATTATAAGACACACTGGTATATAAAACGCACCAAGACTTTGAAGAGGTAAGTAAGAAAAAAAACGTTTTTGCCCTCCCCGGCCCCCAGGAGCATTCTGCAGGCCTCCCGAACCCTTAGCATGCTCCATTTTTTGCAAAAATTGGCTCATTTTTTGCCCATTTTTGTGAAAAACGGGGTGCGCAGAGGGTTTGGGAGGCCTGCAGAGTGCTCCTGGGTGATGGGGGAGGGCAAAAATGCCCCATTTTTGCAAAAAAATTGGCCTGTTTTTGCAAAAGGGATGCGCAGAAGGTTTGGGAGGCCTGCAGAGTGCTCCTGGGGGCTGGGGGAGGGCAAAAACTTTTTTTTTTCTTACTTATCTCTTCGAAATCTTGGTGCATCTTATAATCCATTTTTCACAAAAATGTGGAGAGCGGGGCAGGGCTTTGGGAGGCCAAAAAAGGCTGTATTCAGTGTATAAGACGCACCAACATTTCCACCCTCTTTTGGGGGGGGGGAAGTGCGTCTTATACTCTGAAAAATATGGTACTTGTTCCTTTCAGTTATAAGATTATAAACTTGGATAAGTTTATAAGTTTCTTTAAGTTATAAGTTGACAAAGGCAAGCATTTCTCCATTTTATATCTGTGCAATGTATATAATTTAATTATATGTTGAAACTACAAACAAAAATGATTTTTCTTTATGAAACAATTATTCTGTTCTTTGCAACATATCTTTTAAATAGTTTATGAATGCAGTAGCTCTGGTAAGCCACACTAATGAAAATGACATAAATTTCTATTTCAAAAGTAAATTAACTCTTCCTTTAGAAGATGTAAATAAATAAGTGACTATAAATTATGGTGACTTGTGGCATGGAATTATCTATTCTGTGTTGATTGATAATGAAAACAGAAAATAAAAGATTTAGAAGTGTTAAACTATTGTTTATATCAGACATGTAATTACAGATTTAAAAACTTAAGCAAAGTTGTTTTCATATTTTAAAATTTAATTTTATATAAATTAAATATTTTTCAATGTAACTTTATGATTAAAAATATATTTCTATTTAAATTGAAATTAACCATGGAAAACACATAATTTTGTAAAAATTACATGGAAATAGCAAATTACAAAACTAATGTATTTTAGCAGAATTTTTTCTTAGTATTCTAAACTTTGGTCTGCCATAGCAGGTACAGCCTTGGTACAGCCGTACCAAGCCTATCTTAGCTGTTCTCAGAAAAGTTAAGTGGAGTCAGAACTAATACTTAAGATTGGGGTGAGCAGGAAGTCTCATGACTATAAATTAACCTGTGAAATAGAATAGCAGACAACTTTCAACATACTTTACATCACTATCTCATCAATTGATTAACAGTCTATTATTAATATATCATGTAGATTACCTCTCAACCAAAGAAAAGGTGTGAATGGTGATTTCCCAAAGCAAACTTTTCAAAAAGTGCATGATGTCATGAAGAGGAGAGATTTTAATTGCTCCAATATCTGTTATATAATAATATAACAAGGACCAGCAAAATTTTAAAAAATCCACAATACCAAATTAAAATCAAATAGAAATAAAACACTAGTATAACAAAGACAAAATAAAACATAGATATGTAATATATATTACTGTAATAGTATCTGTGCAAGTGTAAATTTAAAATACTTCAGATTAGGAAGTAAAGTATATGTCATCCAAAAACAAGATAGCTAGTATGTGTTAAATCTAAAGCAATAAATACTAAAAAAATAGTTTTTTATGTAACCAATTATTTTCATTGTTGCAACATAGAAATTGGCTACCGTGCAAGTGGTAAATGGCTTGATATCTTCTACATGATGATTCACATAGAAATTGTTTGATCTTCTTGGAAATATACATATCAGGGGCAGAAGATAAAAGGACCCGACATCCCAATAGAGTTTAAAATATAGTAATACATGTGAAATGGTTTTGATCTCTTGTCATTAATAGGCAAGTATGCTCAGTTAATGGGGCTTCGGAGTAATGCCTTGCAGTAATGTAAATCATAAAATGTTATGTTTGACTTTGAAAAATACTATTTTCAGCTTTGGGAAAAATTAGATTGTATAGATACCTTGCTTGTTCCAAAGTGCCCCTAGTTTTTCAATTTCTACCATGTCAGCGCAGACCTTTAACTTCAGTCTGAAGCTCTATACCCTGTATTCTTTGGGTGAGCAGAATATAGCAAAATGCCATTACTTAAGGAAAAAAAAATTAAGACTGTTGGCCATGCAGGTACAAAGATAGCCAGGGAAATGATTGAAGCCTGGGAAACTGGCCCCTTGTCAGTCAGCAGGAGTGCTGATTTACCACCAGCTTATCAGGTTCTATGGAACCGAGGGCTTGGCAGCACAAGGAAACAACAGCTAATCACCGGCCTTCAACACACCAATTAACCAATAGGAAGGCACTACATAAATGCAACTCTCAGAATCGGCCAAAACACATATTCCAGTAGAGAGAGATTCCCTTAAGATGGTTCCCTCACAAGTCTGAAAGCTAGGAAGAGTAAACCCCTGGTCCAGATTCGATCTTGCAACAACAACAACAACAAAAAGCTACATAACTAGTACTTTGCTTCATTTTTCTCTAACAAGGAACTCAAATGTTCCACCAAGAAATTGTGAAGAACTGGATGAAGGGCAGGATGGAAGCTTGAGGCCAAAATGAACATAGTCGGAGAATATAGGTAGTCTTTGGGTTATAACAAATGCAACAACACATAACTACATTGCTTAGTGAAAAATCGTGGCAGTGCTGTTTACTGTAATAATGGCAGGACAATGCAGGTTATTAAACGAGAAGGGACATAAGTCCCAAGCAAGGAGTTGGGGCATGCATGAGTGGGCATGACTTGCAACCTTCCCTGCCAGCTTTATTGACTTTACTTATGGGAAGCCGGCAGGGAAGGTTGCAAATAATAAACACATGACCACAGGATGCTGCAACTAGGGTAAGTATGTGCTAATTGATCACATGATTCTGGGAATGGCCAGACCGTTGAGGGCCAATTTTAAGTACCACTCATTTAGCACCATTGTAACTAAATGCTAAACAAATGGTCATAGAAGAGCCGAGGTGGCGCAGTGGTTAGAATACAGTACTGCAGCTACTTCAGCTGACTGCTAGTTCAGCAGATCAGCGGATCAAATCTCACCGGCTCAAGGTTGATTCAGCCTTCCATCCTTCCGAGGTGGGTAAAATGAGGACCCAGATTGTTGGGGGCAAAATGCTATTTAGTATACTGTCTTTGGTGTAAGCCGCCCAGAGTCCTCGGAGAGTGGGTGGCATAGAAATATGAATAAATAAATAAATAAATAAAATAAATAAATAATCTGAATACTTGTAACTTTTTATTTTGAATGTGTTTAACTCTTCAGACCAGATAATGAAGAAGCTGAGAGTCTGCCTGAACCCTTACAGTGTGATTTTTTAAAAAAGAAACTTAAGAGAATTGGTAAATTGTTCGAAGTTAAAACCCACTCCCTCTCCTAGAAAAATGAAATATTTTAGGATATACTAAAAAGGCAGAATATTTCCCCTAAAAGAGAAGTAGAAACTCAGAGAAGCAGAAACTCATTCCCCCCACCTTTGTCAATGGGCCATTAAGGCCTCAGCATCCCATCTGCAACACAAAGGACCCATATAGCAACAGAAACTCACCACATGGCACCTGGGAAGATTACATCAACCAGCAAGACTAGCTAAGACCCCCACCACCTGGGAGTCTGACAACCAATCAGGATATTCTTCCTGTGCCCCAGGAAGTTCAAAGCCCAAAGAGGGCATAAAACCCAGGAACTCTCAGCATCTCGGCCCCTTTTCTGTTCAGGAATGTGATCCTGTCCACCATTAAACCACCTTTCCAAACAACCACCATGTTTCCAGTGTCTTTTTCCCCACTTGGAACTGAACCCAGAAGGATATTTCTTCCAACAAATGCCAGATGACTGGAGCAAATGTCCCCATCTTCAAAAAGATAGAAATATTCTATTCAGATCATATTGATATTGCTCTAAAAACAATGTGAGAATAGAGAATTAATTACAAGGTTAGGATGAATTTATCAACAGAAAACTTATTGAATTAGCTTACCTTGGTTTTTTTCCCCTTCATGTGGTACTTTGATAGATTATGGGAATCCTATAGAAACAGTCTGTGACTTTAGTAAAGCATTTAACGAAATACTTCATGACTTGCTGATCAGAGATTCTATTAAATATGGTCTTAATGACTTGACAATTAGATACAGCTGGCCTGAAAATCACTTTTACTGTATATATGTTCATCCGTGGTTGTTCATCAAACTGGAAAGAGATGCCCAAAGGATCAATCCTGGTCCTACTTTTCAAGGTCCTTCAGTATTTTCATTTAAATATTTCTCTGTGTATGCATGTGTGCACACGTGCCAGTGTACATGGGCACATGTAAAATACTGAAAAAATATTTTCATGTCTGATTTAGATGAAGAGGCGCAATACATATTTACATTTTTAATATATTTATACAGACTAAATAGGGATGGGATAGCTAATACCTAGAAAACAAAAATAAAATTCAAAGTGATCGTAATATGTTGGAAAAACAAAGTAAAATAATTAAATCTAACAGAGATAAGTGCAAAGATCACCTAGAAAACAACTATTAAATGTAAAAATATAGGACAGGAGATATCTGGTATGGTAATGATACTTGTGAAAAAGGTATGAGCCAACAATGTGATGTGGCTGCTGAACAAGACCAATGTAAATATTGGAATAATTTCACTGCAATGATTCAACACCCAGCCTCAGATTGCATCAGTTCTGGACAACATTCTTTAAGAAGGATTTGGGGGGGAGTGGGAATGGAACAGGTTCAATAGAATTAGGGGCTAGAAAATAAGTCCTTTGCAGAAGGATTGAAGTAACAGCACTGTTATGTGTTTACCCTGGAGAAATGACCAACTGAGGGGAGGGGTATAATACTTTACAAATAAGTAGTAGAATATCCCATTGAAAATATCAAGTAAGGTTGATTCTTGTTCCAAGAGACAGAATAATCTTCTGTAGGAGGGCAGATTCTGATTGACTGTCA